TCTCTCTCTCTCTCTCTCTCTCTCTCTCTCTCTCTCTCCCCCCATCCACATAAATTTGTATACGTATGAAAATCCCCTACAAAAAAGGGTCCCCCTCCTCAAAAAAAAAGAAAAAAGATTTCCATTTAATATTACAGAACGGTGACATTTTCTTTTTTCAATCTTCTCTCTCGATGGATACTGCGTACTCTCTACCCACTATGTTTGCAGCAAAACGAACGAAATCCGTAATATCGATTATTCGCGACGGTGGTTGCGGAAATGATATCTCCTGGATTACAAATCATTCGATTGTAACGCATGGAAACAGAAACAATTGCACGCAATAACATAGAGTACCTATAACCTACCGACATTATAATACTACACGTTGCCACACAATATCCAGAAATAATATATATTTCCTTTTTTCCTTTATCATCCGACAGAGTTACACGCAATAATTTCCCACTCCTCGCCTTCAAACTCCCATTTATTTTTAATGGAAGAACCATCCTCGACAATAAGAAAACGGAACTATAAGATCGTTTTGCTGTTTTATTTCGTCGAATTTCTTCAACTCCGACTTTAAGTGCACAAAAACGATCTTCTACTTTACAATAGTTTTATCTTACTCCATTTCTCTGTTTTACGTTGAACGTCGTCTCACTCTACTACGTCTACTATAATCTGTTCTTTCTTTTTTCCAGAGATCTAAGACCAGCAAGTTTGGAGAAAGGCCAGGAGACCTTGCGGCTCAGAGTGTACGGTTGTTATGCTTGGGGTGGGCCCCTTTTGGTTGCGGGATTGGCTGCCCTACTGGATCATCTTTCACCCCAGACTCAGTACACCTATCTTAGGCCTCGTTTTGGAGAAAGGCAATGCTGGTTTTATGGTAAGATCGATCTTTTCTATCCTTTTTTTTTCGAAGTTATACGTACGCGCGTTGAGAATAAAATTTTAGTTGCGCACGCAGCATACAAGAGAACCATGAAGTTAGCCGTTAAAGAAAGTTAAATTTGAATATATTTTACACCGGTTTATTGTTAATTCATTATTTTCAATTGAATGAACTTCGGAATGAAAAATAATTCATGTTACAAGCATATTTACAAATATATGCTCGTATACCTATATTATGTATAAACGTTTATTGATCGCGGATTATTACATTACTTTATACGTATCCTGTGCTGTTAAATTGTGATAAAAATTGCTTTATATAATATTTAATTAATTTAATTCAAATGTATAAATCTCGTATTTACCGTCTCCCTTTGTTCCTAACTCGTATGAATTCTTACAATTAGTAGACACGTTAACCCTTAATAAAATTAATATTTCAATCACGCGCCAAATAAATATAATTTCTGACGCAAGTACATAAGTACACGCGTTATTTTTTCTTTTATCTTTTTTTTTATTTTTTAATCTATTTAAAAAAACTCTCCCTATCAATTTCATCTTCATTTACTCATTATTTTAATCATCGATATAAACCGAAAATGAAAGAACGAGCGATAATTGCAATCGTTTTCCCTCAAAGCTAATAATGAAACTTATTATTGCAAATGATACAATAGGAAGAAGGAGTAAAGCTGAGGAACGAAGGTCATCTCTTGCTATCCGATTATTCCGCCAATTAATAGGACCGTTCAGGCAAACTCGAAGTACCGACTAAATTGCTTTCGTTCGACGATAGTCCGAATGACGCGCGGGACGGGCATCGAATTAATTACCATTCGGAGGATATCTACCTATTAAACGAATATTGGATATCCCATAATGAATGCGTAGAAGTCGAACAGAGTGGTGGAAAAGGGAATAGGAACGCGAAAATTTAGCTTAACGCATGTATAAGGGATTCTAACGGTTAATTAAAAGTCTACGTATGTTAAAGTTTGTTCTTACGTTTAGAGAAAGAAAGAGAGAGAGAGAAAACTAATATAAACCGAACCACCAACCATCATCATTCGTACCTAATCGCAAAGGGCATAATAGAAATACTTGGAGGTAAGAGGATTACTTGAAATATCATTTGCCTCACGGAATATTGTACTATATTTATATATAACATCGAGAGAGTACGCATAGAAGGGTAGTAAAAAGAGAAATAAGAAGATCGATAGACCAAAGTACCTTTAATACCGTCGAATCCCTAATAATAACCGGTACAACTCCCGCGAGCTTTAATATACATTCTGTCCAAGTGTGCCTGTTGAATTTACGAGTGTATTCTGTATATATATATATATATGTGTGTATTTGTGTGTAGGGATGGGTATATACTTGTTAAGAACTCGTCTTGTAACGTACTAGAGAGAAAGTAAAGGAGAAGGAGAAGGGGGGGGGAATAAAATTGAACGAGAGAAATAGAGATAGAAAAAGGGAAAATAGACATGGAGCGGGCTAAAGTAGAAAGGGGGGAGGTAGGAAAGGGTGGTCTTTATTCGCGGTCGGCACAGTTGCAGACTATTTAACAGAGAGGGAAAGATAGAGAAAGACTACCTCGCAATTCGTAATCTCCTTTATCCCATAATAATCCCACGTGGCTGATCCCAAAGTCCTCGCAAATACCCGTTGCAAACATAACCGTCACACTATAATGTGCATCGATGTCTTCCTCAAACGAACCGAGAACGATTTGCGTGTAGCCTTTTTTTTGTCTATGTTACGAAAGCAACTTCTTTCTCTCTTCTTCTACAATATGTATTCCCCATTGAGGATAAAACGGGATTTTTTTTGTCCCGTTTAACTTACTGCTTTCTGAATCTTTTAAATTCTTTCCTACGTGTATAGTCTTTGTTTGTCTCGCGTGTTTAAAAAGGGGATCTACCATAAACGTGCTCTTAACGCGAGCACGTTATTCCCTCTCTCTCTTTTTTTTTTTATCATTTGCATGCGAGTATGTAGATTTTGAGGAAACCTAATGAAGCGAGAAAGAAACTTTTATGGTTTCTCGTTCATTCATCATAGAGGAGTTTCCATTCGAAACACATAGAAACAGATATATAAGAAAAGAAAGGAAAAATAGATAAAAGGAAAGATAGGAAAGAATGAAAATGCACAGCAGTTGTATGTCGTAGCACAGTAGAGGTTGATTGCGGAGAAAGCAGAAAATAGAATCGTTGTCGCACTTGTAAATCAGGATAATAGTGTCCCATGGGAAACTCCATCGGACTATCTTGAACTCTGTTCTGCTTCGCAACTCAGCGAAGCAATACCTTGTGCTGAGAGAAGCTGAACAAGCCAAGCCAAGCAAAGGACTTTGCTGCTACGGTGTGCTATACTACAGCGTCTTGTTAGAATGCCATAGACGATAGGATAGGAAGATAAACTTGGCGGCAGGCTAGCCAACCCTAACTGAAACTATCTCTTTAAGGGAATATTCTAATATGAGAACCCATTTTCGTGGTGAATTGTAAGGATTTTATTTCGTAACGTAGAATCTATATAATAATTAAAAAGTAGGTTAACACCGTATAACATTTCGATTGATCGAGAGATAATTTATTAATCTCGCACAATTCATGCAACCTATTGAGATCATTTTGAATCATTTGAACACTTAGAGAATTGTCAATACAATTAAAGATTTTCAAAATTATCTGTATACAACAAGGGGGAATTTGGTGTTATTAAATACATGACATATATCATTAACAAAATGTATAAAAAGAAGCGGACCCAAATGGGAGCTTTGAGAAATGCCAGACGTTACTTTAATTTCTTTAGAGAAAATGAATTTTTAAATATAATTATTTAAGATTTACCAGATAAAAAACCTAGTCTTCGAAAAAAGTAAACAGGTATTAAAACCTAGTAATCGCAGTTTATTTAATAATATCAAATAATTAATCGTATCAAAAGCTTTACTGAAATCTACGTATACGGTATTATATTCTTATTATAGCTTATTCCAATATGCGAAATATCGAATTATTCGTATGCTAATTATTTTTCATCTTCTACAAGACAAACAAATCGTATAGAAATTTAATCAAATGTATCCATATACTTTTATGGATTTATTTAAAAGGACAGCTACGAAAGGGAGAGAAATCATTTTCAAAGTTTCATTTATGTATAAACGTAAAACTCTGGCAAATATTAATCGATTTAAAACGGTCGATTGCACGTGCCGTATTGGAAATCCTGTTATACACAATCCGACACGAGCTAGGCGTAGCGTGTATCGTCCTACGGTTCGTTACACTTTTTAATACGATTACTAAACGGGAAGGAAAAAGAAAAAAAGAAGGATGGCAACAGAACGAAGAAAATAACAACTATCTAACAAAACAAAACAAAATTAATAGAAAGCTTTGACCCTTTGCATGTAGTAATCGACGTATAGAACACTCGATATGCTAATAAAACGTTCTGGGAATTATCGGATGCTTAAGAGAAGTGTTTAGGAGAAGTACTCTAGAGAAGACCTTTTAAACTCACCCTTATTTATCGTCTACTCTCCATTACTTATCCTAAACGATGCTAACGTTGAAAATGGTTGAGAATTTTAAAGGACTATCTCAACTTGTTCTACCCAAGTACTTTCAATATCAAATTAATTTGCGTATTATTTGAACGTTCTACTGTACCAACATTGTTTTCAATCGAACGATTACATTAGTTAATAAATTTCAACTTTTTTTTCCTATATTCGATTTAAAATATAATTATTCTCATTTATTTTGAGATATTTCATTCAATGGATTTCTATCACATTATATTTTCTTCAAATACAATATTAATAAACTCTCTTATAAAATACAATATAAAAAAATATCAACAAATTGACTCAACCACGTAATCTTTTTAGCGACTCAATTGATATATAACACATCAGATCCAAAATGACTGTTAACCAATGTTATTTATCACGAAATTACACCTGGAGGGAATTAGAAAGTTAGAGAATTTCGAATTTCAATTCTAAACGTTTGATCTGCGGTCTGGAAACTCTCAGACCATTTACAGATGTTTGGCTGTTGTTTATTCGAAAATCAAATGTTACAATATGTATGTTATAATAAGTATAAACGAAGGAAATCGTTAAGAAAAAAAAACAAAACCAAATAGATAATCGATCTCCCTGTGTTTTCCTATCTAACGATAATTAAAAATTCCATAGCAGTGAATCGTTTAAAACACGTGAGAAACGGATCGTTAACGGGGGGTGGAGGGAGAGAGGGACCGTTAACAATCCTGCCTGACGATCCGAAATATCGTCGACGATTAAAAGGGTATCGCATGACATAAATTGCAAAAGTGTCCGAAACTTGGAAACGATAAAAAAGAGAGATAGAAGGAGAGAAAGAGAGAGAAAGAAAAAACAACCTACAGAGAGGGGTGGAGGGTGAGGGAAAGAGAAAGTATGAATGCAGAGAAGGAACAGAATGTGGAGGTGGGAAAATAGGAAGCGGAGGTGGATATGGAAGAGGAGGAGGAGGAGAAACGATCGCAATTGATCTCGCGAAACGTTTTCGATGGCGAGCTAATCGGGCTTGACGGTGGTGCCATAAAGTATCGAACAGGCACGCGTGGACATAATTCACTTATGTTTGTTATGGCTTGCCATGAAGTGAGATACAACCCGTGCGGAACAGCTATCGTTGGCGGGTTGCCAAAAGCCACCGAATATAGATGATAGTGTCGTTCGTAAACGGTAAGAAAGAACTATCGTACTTTCTCTCCCCCCCCTTCCCCTCCCTTCTCTCTCTCTCTCTCTATCTTTGTCTTTTAAATTATTCTAATTTAAAGACTATTACGATACAGAACAGACAAATTATATATAAAAAAAAGAAAAGAAAAGTAAAGTAACAAAGGAGGAGAATAAGATGACTTTTTTTCTGTTTTCTCTGTCTATCCATCTCTTTTAAATTATTCTAATTTAAAGACTATTACGATACAGAACAGACAAATTATATATAAAAAAAAGAAAAGAAAAGTAAAGTAACAAAGGAGGAGAATAAGATGACTTTTTTTCTGTTTTCTCTGTCTATCCATCTCTTTTAAATTATTCTAATTTAAAGTCTATTACGCGGTAGGAGGAGGAAACAAGTAAAAAGAAAAAAAAAAGGAAATTAAATAAATGTAAACAAAAAGAAAAAAGAGAGAGTAAAATTACGAATGATTATCGATAATAGTCGAAAACCATGGTTTCCTTTTTAACTTTAGCCAATGAAATAAGGAAGACATCGTTTAATATAATTGCTTCTTCGCGAGTACTTCGAAATGAATCGTTCGTTATTGTCTCTCGAAAGAAATAAATTCAGAAGGGGGAAGATAGGTAAAAAGTTGGCACTGAAAAGAGTTTTGAATTTTTGTGTGAAACTCTTCCTCCCATCCCCTCCCTTTACTTTTCTATCTGCCTATCTCTTCTTTCATTCTTTCTTTCTTTTTATTTTCTCTCTCTCTCTATCTCTCTCTCTCTCTCTCTCTCTCTCTCTCTCCCTCTCTCTCTCTCTCTCTCTCTCTCTCTCTCTCTCTCTCTCTCTCTCTCTGTCAGTATGTACCATCGTTGAATTTTGAACCTTCTTAATGAACGCCGTGGTGAATGAGAAAAAAAGTGGAAGCCAAGGGCCGAAGAGAATACAAGTTCGCTCTTCTGCATTCGTTTAATATTCCGTTCGTCCGGCAGCTAGCGAACCGAGCGACGAGATGAAGAGTACCCAAAGAGAAAGAATGAGAGAGAAAGAGAAAAAAAAGAGCGTAAGAGAGAGAGAGAGAGAGAGAGAGAGAGAGAGAGAGAGAGAGAAAGTTTGGTAAACCGGCCCGAATCCGATACACAGCGTTTCGAAAGTTCACCGACGAGTTTAGCCTGAGTTTGACGTCCGCTCGAAACTTTTCGTTCAAGCTCAGAAGCAAATCAACGAAGAGACTAGATCATCCGGAATGGGATTACAGAAAATGTTTTTAAAATACTGTTAAATGTTCCTCCTGTATACTCTCTTTAAACTTTGCCGTAGAGAAAATTGCCAATTTTATTATTTCAAATGGTCAAACAATCGTGAAATATAACCACAAGCTCGGTAAAAGTATAATGAACTGGTTTAATATTCGCAACATTTTAAATGTTACCCCTTCCCGAATTATTCACGCTGGAATTTTTCATGATTATATCAAATTAAAAGGAACAACGTACCCAAATAGATTATACTTTTATACAGATGGTCCACAAATTAAGATTTATTTTAATTAAGAGGATACATATTCTAGCGTGTCTGGTTAAAAAAAATAAGAGAATTTTTTGTTTACATTTTCTTATAGTTTGAGATCTTTAAAATGGGTTCTAAAAGTTCATTGAAATAACCGAAATCCCGTATAAATTACAATTGCATAAAAAACATTAAATCGTTAAGTGGATAATATCGAAAATGAAAAAAAAAACGATGAAATTTAATTCAAAATCAAAATATTTACTATTAAAATACTTCGGACGATATTGATACATCTTATTAACCTAAGTAAAATATTAAAAGAAAAGATTTAACAGTTTGACCTGGATTTGGCATGGTGGTGCTTCTTCGTGAGACTCGTTTGCTTGAAAAGTAGGTCGATTGGAGTAGTTCGATACCCGTTAAAAGTATTACTACAAGTGCATTAGTAGTATTTACCTCCTGTATAACAGATACTACCTGTATAAATAAGATTTTATTTCGAAGTTTATTTGTAGAAGAAGTGGGAAAGGATGAAAAGGGTTTAGATAACATAGACTGTTAAAGTACATGCAATTACGAAAATGGTTTTAAAGATACAAGAAAATTATTTGATACAAGTAATGCTTGTTTCTATCAGCTCACACTTCTATGTATCCGTGTACCTTCCTCTCTCTTTTTCTCAAGTGTGTATATATTTTTTGAAACATTACCTAAAGCAAAAACCAATCGCGATTCGTTAAGTTTTGTGTATATTGCTCCACACTTCCGGTGAATCATGTACGATCGTCTAACAGATTTATCTTCCTGTCCTCGATCGTATTTTTATTCTCCTCCCTTTTCGAGATCCGCGAAAGAGAAAAACAAAAAGAAAAAAAAATCTATTTTCGCGCGAACTTCAAGGAAGAAGGAAAGATAAAGAGATGTGAAATTTCTCATCTATGGTAAACATGAAAATAAAATCAAATCTCGCGTAGTTAGAATTTCATTATCGTAAGTATAACACGTTAACCCAGTTATGGAATTTATAAATATACGAAGAACCCTGTGCAAAATGAAATTTTACGAGCCTTCGAGGAAAAAAAAACAAATTATATTATATTATATAAAGAATATTAATATTGGTATACTAATATTGTTAAATGCAAAATTTTTCGACCACACCCCCCTCGCGTTACAGAATGTTGCTGTATCGTAGTTCCATCCCTGTGTAAACCCATTTCCTCTTCCTCTTTCTATTCTTTTTCCTTCTTCCTTCATCTCGCTTTCCTCCCCATTGTTAAAGCGCAACAACGTTTATTATTGAATCGAAGAAATTCGAAACATCGAAGAGATCCGGCTTATCCTATCCGGAGATGATTTAAATTTAGAATATTAAGATTTCTCGCGGTCTCGGTGGTCCGGATCCACGTGCTAAAATCGACCAATGAAATTGAAATAAATACGTGACGACGTATGATATTCGGATAATTATTATTTTATTAAAGTAACAAAACACAGCACGTATATTAATTTGGATACTTCTTTTGTACGTCTTACAGGTGACATGGAAATTCTTGCATATTTTTTCGGACCAATCGGTGCACTTTTAGCCGTGAATCTTCTCTTTTTTGCCGCCACCGCACGTGAATTAACTTGCGGTCTTTGGAAGGGTGAATTTGTCAAAAGCACTACCGAAAGGTAAGTAAAGAAATTGCTCTGAATTATTTCTTATGATATAATTTATAATACTTATAAAGGAAAGGAGGATTCATAAATCTAGATCAAACAAAATCCGCATTCAAAGGAGTTTAATAAACAATCACGGTGGTCTCTTTCGGACGAGATTGAGAAAACTTTGTGATCTACTTAACGAGAATAAACCAACCAATAATGTTTCAAGTTATGCGATCGATGCACTCTGTAACTTCAACCTTGTTTATCTAATTAACTGAAATTCGATATATTCGAAGAAGAGGTCTATGTACTCTATATATTCTATATAGACCTTTTGAAATAGTTAGAAACTCAATTTCATAGTGAATCAGAACGAACGTCTTGAATCCTTTTTATTCGAAGAAAATGAAGAAAAAGAAGAAGAAACCAGGGCTTTGTTTTCGACCGAAGGACGACCTGCTTTAAGCGATGAACATCAAGGATAACTGGTTTCATTTCAACCTTCCAAATGAAAGTGGTCCTCTCACGAGAGTTATTCTCAAACGATTCGTATTTTCTTTGACTCTAACTTAGATGATTTGAATATTTGCAATATTTGGATTGATCGTTCTTATTTTATAAAAAAGATTAAATAAATCTAAATCGATAAAAATATGGCCAATAAATAATATATATCCAAGTTTACATATAGTTATAGTTTATATTTAAATATAAAATATCATAGAGTATTCTTTATATTGAAGTTTTTGACATAACTTATTTATTGGCCAACCGAATAAGTTTGAATTTCTCCGAAGAAGTCATATTTATGTTCAAGAAAAGGAACAAATATCATTACTTTTCATTCGTACTTCTTATTCTTCTTCTTATCTTTCTTCTTTCCCATTTCAATATCCATTCTCTTTTCTCAATCGTTAGATTGATATTGACGATCTCAATTTCCGTAGAAAAATGTTATTTGCACGGACAAGGAAAGGAAACGATCTCTATAAACTTTATTCTCTTTGCTACCGTGCCAACAGGATTTATGATTTCGTTGAAACGTAGTTGCTATTATATGAAAAAAAAACTTAAAAAAAACATAGATCGTAACTTCGTTTTTGCTTCTATTTCTTTTTCTCTTTTTTATGATCCAGAGAAAGACCTTGTGTCGTTGATAAGTATTTAGAAAAGTATTGAAGATTCCTTTACGTACGTTTTCTTCAGTGACGTAATTACAAATATTCGAACATTCTCCGCAAAATATAATGTTGTATCTCCAGGAAAAAAAAATCACTTATATTAAATTATATAAACAATATTAATATTGATATTTAATGCTTCAAAATGTACAATTTTTCTATTCGATATTTTTATAGGATCGAGATTTCTTTTTATGCGTTTTAGGGGGATAAAGAATTATAAAAATTTAATAAAGGCAAAAAGTATGTTTTTGTGTGTCAATGTACTTTTAATCTATTAATTAAAATATAATATGTTCAACATAATTTCGAGTAGGCATTACGGGGTCTTACGATATTGTCGTTCTACTCCTGGTTTTCTTGATTCATTTTAAAATATTTAAATAAGAGAGATAAATTAACGTTAATTTAATGTAATTTAAACAGTCTGATTAGATGAATTAATCGAATAAAACCAGAAGTAATTGATCCATGAAATTTATTATTATTTCAATCGATCAGAATCTTGGATCAATCATCGATTCTCATTCATTCTTATCCCTATTACATCAGAACAAGCAACGATCCAAGAGCTAAGCTATTTCATTTCATCGACTGGTTCTTCTCGTCGATCTTTTTATCGATCCGATTATATCGTCTACGTTACTAGCGGTCTACCGCAGACTATCCTAAGATTATTTCTTCTCGTTTTCTTTTTTCATTGTCCGTCTTACTTGCTTTTCAAAATATAAATCCAAAGCTAAGAAAATGTCTTAAAACCTTTAGTTAGTACAAGATCTTGAAGGAAACTATTAACTAAAGATAAAATAACTGTTAACCCTATGCACTCCTTAATCCCGAATTTAAACATTTAAAATTATTTTAAAAATTCCATTGTATAATTAGACTTTAGAGATAGTGTAAGAAATATGATGTCAAGTAACACCCGACATAGAGGTGATAAGAGTTGAAATTGAACTTTTATAACAGAATTAAAATGTCAATGTACAAAATTAATTTAAAACAGAAAAGAAATAATTGAAAAGTTTATAGTTTCGTTCAATCCCTGTTCAGTACCGTTTGTTTCATATATATATAAAACAAAAAGAAAATTATTAAAAATAATAAAAAGCTACCAATGAAATATCTAAATTATAATTAAACACGTATACTAATCAATAATGTTGACAAATGAAATTTCTGTTAAGCAGGGCTGCCTTGGGCTGGGTATGCATGAAGTTGGTGATCGTGATGGGTATCACATGGGTTGCTGATGTAGTCTCCTGGGCAGTAGGTGGTCCACAATATATCTGGTACTTCACCGACTTGATAAACGCCTTCCAAGGTGTGCTGATCTTTGCAGTGGTCGGTTGCCAGCCTCAGGTCAGAGCAGCATTGAAAAGACTTTGCAATAGAAATCCAAGAACTAACGCAAGTCGGCAGGGTAATGGCCTTAGTACAACCAGTCACGGTATGCCCAGCATGGGTGATAGCGTTACACAGAATCCAAGTACGAAGACTGCACCGTTGGAAACCATCTGTTAAACTCACTTCGAGAAGGTTCGAGATTGAACATTAAAACAATAAAAAGAAGATAAGGATAATCTTGAAGAAAACTTAAATACGACTATGTGACGAGACGACGATTACGACGACTTTGACAGGATGCTTTGAACGTTCAGCAAACATCAACGGTCAATGCGTTTCCGTCCTAAGGTCATTGACCTTGAAAAGAAGCCCGTGGGTGGTTTAGTCAGGAATGAGAAAGCCTAGAGGCAAAGGTGTATGTATTTCTAACGCGCCTTTTTTTTTCTTTCTCTCTGGCGGACTTTTACACATATTTATTAAAAGACATATACTTCAAGATCCACGTATATGTATGTATATGCAACTGCGCGAATACACACTTGTGTGATAGGTTCGAGAATACTCGCGTATGAAATTGAAAACAAAACATAAAATAAAATAAAAACCATAAGAAGGCAAAAGAGATTCTTTAAATGACGAATTTGTGTCATTCTAATCGAGATACTCGTTGTTATTAATGTATATAAACAGATGAGAGATGAGAGAGAGAAAGAGAGAGAGAGAGAAAGGGTGGGGGAAGAAGAAGAAAATGCTTGACCATTTACAGAGATTATTAATAAATTGTCGATATATGATAATACGACTGATAAATAATCATACGTTTGTTACCAATTTACTAATCGAATATAGTCATTGCGTCTACTTCTCTAATATCTTCGAATCGAGCTTAATTAATTAATTATATCTCTCTTTTGCACGAACATCAAAAACTATCTGTTAGTTTGCGTTTGTTTTATTTTCTTTTTTCTTTTTCTTCTTTTTTCTTAACTTTCTTAACTCCTTTTTTACTTCGAATTTTATTCATATATATTCTTACAACTTTTCTCGTGGATCATAAATGATTTTTATTCATGAAGGGGAGAGCGGGGGGGGGGTGTAACCATTGGAATATTAATATCGGGACCACAAAATTTGTAATTAAGAGTACAATTAGAAATAGTAAAAATTCTAAAAAGAATTATTCATCAACCGATCCACGTCTCTTCATAAAAAAAAAGAATAAATTATATATTGCTTAGTCTATTGTTGAAATATCCGATAATTTTGTTGTACAATTATTTGTCATTTGAAATTATCGTGTGTATCGGCATTGAAGAAATTTTTCATAAAATTTACAAATTTATACGTCATCAATTTTTTTTATTCTATCCTATCGAGATCGCAAAATAAAAAAAATAAAAAGATAAAAAAGAAATCTTTACATTCAAAAATACAGCCAAGATTTTTTTGTTTTTTTTTTTTTGTAAAATCGTGAAAAAAGGGAGAAAAAGTCTTTTATACTGAAGTATTTTTAACGATACTGCCAATTTCTGTCAAAAATCGTCTGGAAGTGTGCCATTATAGATATATTCAAAGATATATATATTTCAAATTTGCATTTCGCATCGTCGATTCAAAATAGTCTTCGAGGAATCATCGAAATACATAAGTTCGATCTACGTGAGTCACGATCTATGATTTCCGTGATCTATGATTTTCGACCTTTCGAATCCTCTCTTTTTTAAAAAATAAAAAATAGAAAAATAGAAAAATAGAAAAATAGAAAAATAGAAAAATAAAAAATAACATCCTGTCCTAATATTAGTTTCTAAAAATTAGATATTTGTATGAATGAAAATAGAAAATATCGGAAATAGCATGATCGACGTTTCGTAATATGTAATAAAAATTTGATGCCTTTTTAAATGCCTTCCAGATGTGTGACAAGTTTAACATGCCAAATTGTATCGAATTGACCAATAATTTAAATAACGTCACAATTTTCAGTATTTTATATTTAAATAAATCATTATTAATAACGTATGTATATTTAAATTAAATATTAGCTAGTCAATATGATTCAATAATATTAACTTCAACAATAAACTAAAGTTATCAAAATCGTATATTATATTCTATTGGATATACAATATTATACTATATACAAACTTCACACTGCAAATAAACATTTTTGCAGATCACATTCATCTTTTGTACATTAGAAATTAATAGAAACTACATAAAAATATATATATATATATATACATGATACATATACACGTATACAATAAAAAATGTTGTCATTTATTTAGATATAAAATACTGAAATTTTACGACGCTTATTGGTTCATCTAATATTAGAAAAACACGAGTCGATTTTCTAACGATTTTTCGATAGACAACATTAGTGATTAAAGAAGAAGAAAAAGCTTGTAAGAGCTTTTAAATTATTCATTCTAAATGAAAAAGAAAGAGAGAGAGAAAGAGAGAGAAAGGAAGAAAGAAAAGAATCTTTTGTCTTCAGGTGCATAAAAGAGACTGAAATACGATATCCGCTGTCTCGATTCGAACAATCTCTTGAAGAAGAAGAAGACGCATCGAAATCGAATTCAATTCGACTAATGTGAGTGTTGTCCGAAAAAAAGAGAAGAAAAAAAGAAAAAAAAAGAACTGCAAAACTTGATGGATCTTCGAAGAGTAGAAAAAAAGAAACATAAACGGGTCATTTTAGAAAGTATGATTAGTTCCTTTATATATATATTTTTTTTTTGTAATACGAATGAAACGGATGGTTGCAGAAAAAAATAATTATCCTTTTTTTTCTTGTGTTATCTCTATTAAATGACTGTATCCGAGAATATTCTACCTTCGTCGATTCTTTTTCTTTCTAACTAATTTTATAATCCAAAGAATAAAAAATGAAAAGAGAAACAAGGAGCTCTCTTACGTATGTAAAGTAATAATAACGACGATGACACGTGCGTTACATTAATGTATGTGTGTGTGTTCGTATGATACTCACGTATCAGTGTGTTGGTGCGAATGATAATATATAATTAGCGTTCATCATTAGTTCTCTTAGCAATAAGTATGATTAAATCACATATTCTTACGTAACGATTGCACGTAAAAAAAACAACGACGGGGTGACAGTCGTCTGGATCACATTATTCATTCTAAAAATAATATTCTAAAGAAACTTTGAAAAGAAGAATATAAAATAAAAGTCAAGTACTTCTCGCGTTGCAAAAATAATAAAATCATTTAATTAGATGCAGATACTGTCACCGAATAGAAAAAACTCACCATCATCACCATCATCATCATCATCATCATCATCATCATCATCATCATCATCATCATCGTCATCGTATTCAATCTTATTTTTTCGTAACACATTTATTTTTTATTTCGTATCGTATAAAGGGTGAGATTAAAATCGCTTTCTTTGAAATAGCTCGAAACAAATTGTTTTATTTCTTTTTAATATTTTCTTCCATTTGTTTACAAAAATTGTTGAAATTGTAAGCAACTTACATAAACGAATTTTTGGGATAAGTGAATCTCACCCTGTATATTATAATGATAATTATTATTATTATTATTATTATTATTATTATTATTATTATTATTATTATTATTATTATTATTATATTATAAAATTAAAATTATTTTTGTTATTAATATTAAAACTGCCAATACACGCAACTTGATCGTAGAATTTAGGATTTAACACGTATGTCACAGAGGAATAAACGTTAACGTTATTATTCCTATTGTATAAAAATGACTCGATTAGAATATAATAATGATCGCGGATATAGATATACGACAGAAATTCGACATACGACAAAGTTTTAACACGTCAATAATAAAAAAAAATCATAACACTGTCGTATATAAAATAAAAATCTAAACCGACGAAAAGGGGAGAGTAGACATTTATTCTCCAAGAATACTATTTACGACTAAAGTAATATACCGATAGTTGGATCGATATGATAGATTGATATAAATCGTAGCCTTAACGATTTAATTTATTTCGAATTAGATGTTGTAGAGAAAGAAAGAGAAAAAAAAATATATATATATAAAAATAAATATAACGGTACTATACGTGTAACAAAACTAAAGATAATAGCTTGCCAGCAGAGAGTACACGTAAAATACGTAATTCAAATGTAAAACGAATCGTTTATTATGTTTCCATTTATTACTTTTCTTTTTGTAATTGAATTTTTTTTTATATTTTCTTTTATTCCATCAACTTTGACGAAGATAGGGGAAAAGTGAAAGCTTAATTCATCGGGACGAGAAGAGGAGGAGGAGGAGGAAGACAACATCGAGATGGTTCTTCGAGAAAAGATAGAAAGATCAAAGACACAGGGAAAGAAAGGAGAGGTATGAGGGGTGTGTATGTGTGTGGCTCTTGGCACGATCGTTTGTGGTACGAAAAGGGAAACATCCCACTCGTCACTTTTTGCCCTTTATTCTTCGTTTATCTCTAGCATGTAGAAGCATCTGCCGAGGCGAAGTAAAAGAAAGAGCTAGTCGATGAAGGCTTCTGCTTTTACTTTGCCCAAATATAACATGAAAATATAAAGAAATATATGTATGTATGCACACACCTCGAGTGAGTTCGAGGATATAAAACGAGGCTACTAAAAGAGAAAGAAAAAGATTGATACAAAAAGAAAGAGAAGGACAGAGAAAGAGAAAGGTTGTGTGTGTGTGTGTGTGTGTGTGTGTGTGTGTGTGTGTGTGTGTGTGTGTGTGTGTGTGTGTGTGTGTGTGTGTGTGTGAGAGAGAGAGAGAGAGAGAGAGAGAGAGAGAGAGAGAGAAAGAGAAAGATAGAGGAATGACGAGAGACAATAGTATTTAATCGTCGAGCATATTAAGGACGATCGTATATTAAAAGCCAGCGCGTCAACTATATTTATAAGCCCGTCTATAGTAGAATACACGTGAGGAATTTATTATTAGTAATAAAAAAAAATTAAAAAAAAGGAAAAAAAAATAAAATCCATTCATATAAGCGCAAACTCTAGCATTCGATTTACGTACAAGCGCCAATTAAATACAATACAATACACCATTCCCATAAACGAGATGTATCGTAAACAGTATTTACTATCGCACTAATGGCAATAAAGAGAAACTCCTAGTACTAACGAATTTCATTCTGCATTTATGTATAAAATTATCTTTCTTTTTTCTTTTCTTATTTGTTTCTCATCCTCTGATTATAAATTTATTTTGTATATTTTTTACGATATAAAATGAATTTTTAGTTGTACCTGTAAATAATAGAATATAAAGGTTTGTGTATGTATTTGGTTATAGGTATATTTACTAGCTTGGGTAGAAATAAGCAGACCTTATAATGACATTTACCCTGAACACGCTCCAGTAGAGAATTCCGTACCTAGAAGTTTATTATTACCGAACCTTTGAACCTTCCCTAATTAAATCAGCAAAGTTCCCTATGTCAGAAACTCTCTACATGTTCGGTTTCATCGGAACACATGATTCTTCATATTAGAGAAATAAAATTTATTTAATGTTATGTTACCTACTATAGATATTTGTATATTTTCATATACTCTACTTCTATTGCTTATCTTCATATATTCTATTATACTTAACGTATTGTAAAAGTCGCACAATTGCTACCGGTGTTACCCCTGAAATTTTGTCAGCCGCAGCAATCTGAAATAACACAAAGAAAGTTGTTCACAAATTTTTGTTTAATATACATATTTACAAAAATTTAATGAAAACAATACTTACCGTTCGCGGTCGTACTGCTATTAATTTTTCTTTATCTTCTGTAGATAAATTTAATCTCACCCTGTAAACAAGAGCAGAGGTTTATGTACATAGTCTACTAATTATTTGATCTAATTAATTATGATAATGAAGAATTTCTTACGAATTATAATCAATGTCATCGGGTATTATCATTTGTTCATTTCTTCTAACTTCGTCGATTACTTTGACTTGTTGATGGATGAAAGAAGCATAGGTTGCTTCTATCTGTAAAATCAATTGATTGGTTAAAATCAGCAAAGATGAATCTGTGCCAATTTCATTTATTGACCTTAACCAGAGAGTGTTAGGATCAACAAGTTGAATTATTCTACATGCGTTCTATGTTTATTAGGATAACTAATAATCGTAAATATTGCAAGAACTAGTATTCTCGAAACAATTACCATACCTTCAATCTTCGTTCGAAGATAGGATCTCTTACTAAATTTCCAAATAGTTCTGGCCATAAATTGGCTATTTTTGTAAATTCTATACTCTGATCTGGCATTCCCAATATATCAAAAGCAGATTTATTTTGAGTATTTCTACTCATTTTCATAAGCAATGCTTTTTTCCATTTGGTATTCGATTGGACAATAGAACGGAGCTGTTGTATAGTTTCTTCTAATTTCGTTTTCATTTTTGTCATTCTATCAAATCTTTCGTTACTAACGCAACCTGATTCGTAACCTTTCGCTGTCAGTCTTAAGTCAGCATTATCAGGACGTAAACTCAATCGAAACTCAGCACGACTAGTGAACATTCTGTAAGGTTCGTCTGTACCTTGTGTTGTAAGATCATCGATTAGGACACCAATGTAGCCTTCTGTTCTACTTATAATTATTGGTATTTTTTTCAAAACCTAAATACAACGAGCATTTATAATTATCTTATCTGGAAACTATTCATTGCAATATTTAATTTAAAAATAATTGTTCACCTTAGCAGCTGCATTGATGCCTGCAACACAACCCTGAGCCGCTGCTTCTTCATACCCAGTTGTACCATTGATCTGCCCAGCAAGAAATAATCCCGAAACCTTTTTTGTTTCTAATTCTACGGTTAATTCTCTTGGATCAATGTAATCATATTCTACGCCATAACCAGGCTTTTCTGTAGAAAATAATACAAAAATTAGATTTTTCTTTTATTTATTAACAGATATTTATAAATGGAACCTTACCTACTTTAGCTTCTTCCAATCCACGTATAGAATTAACCAATTCTTGTTGTTTTTCAGCAGGTAATGTACATGACAAACCACCTGGATATATTAATGGCGAATCCAATCCTTCTGGTTCTAACCAAATATAATGACTGGTTTTACCGAATTTTAGAATTTTACTTTCTATACTTGGACAATACCGTGGACCTTTTTTCTCTTCAGTAACATGCAAATTGCAATGCATGTTGTCTTTTATAATTTTAGCTACCTTGTCGTTTGTACATGTCAAATAACAAATCAATTGTTTATCTGGAGGAAGCCATACTCCATCGCTCATAAACGAAAATGGTTCGGGAACTTCATCCGGGAAATTTTTCTCGCATTTAGAAAAATCTATTGTTGATTTTAATAATCTTGGCGGAGTACCTAAACGATATAATTAAATAATAACATTTATTTAAACGAATAAATATATTATAAATAAATGACATAATTACCAGTCTTAAGTCGTTTCATTTTAAAGCCAAGTTGATCCAATGTGTTAGCTAATCCAATACTAGGTTCATCCCCCATTCTTCCAGCAGGTCTCTTTTCTAATCCAATAATAATTTCACCTTTGAGAAAAGTACCCGTTGTTATGACTACTGCATTACTCAATATCCTAGTTCCATCTCCTGTAAAAAAAAAAGCAGATTAAAATATTTCTATACTTTATTAATCCTCTCGTTCTCCATATAAATTCTTTAATGGTTGCATGGAATATGATCCATATATAAATCGGTAGGTTGTTTATACTTGACCTTTACATGAATGACCTATGAATGAGTCACCATTAACGAAGTAGTTAAATAGCATATAAAACAAATGAAATTAAAGATATTTGAAACTTACGAAGAATAATGCCACGACATTCCGGTGGACTTCCTTCTAATATGAGATCTTCGACAGATGATTCACATATATCTAAACCATGCATTTGAAAAAGTTCTGCCTGCAAATGTTGTTTGTATAAACTTCTATCCACCTGTGCTCTGAGGCCCCAAACAGCTGGGCCTTTACTTCTATTTAATATTTTATAATGGATTCCAGAGATGTCACATATGCGACAGCAAATTCCATCTAAAGCGTCAACTTCTCTCATAAGGTTTCCTTTTCCTATTCCACCAAAGGATGGATTACACGACATTTCTCCTAGATATTAGAAATAAATTATTAATTAACACATTTACATATATCTAGCAAAAATACAATTTAATACAAGTATTATCCAACGTACCGATTGTACTTTTTTTATGCGTAACTAATAAAGTTTTAGCACCCATTCTAACAGCAGCAGTGCAGGCTTCGGTTCCTGCATGTCCTCCTCCCACGACAATAACATCAAACTTGTTATTGTCATTACTATCATTTGCTATACTTCTTATACATTGACGAATTCTTAAAACAGTTATTCTGTTGTGTAGATTTGTTCTTAATCTTGAAATGATCATCTTTATGGTTAAAGTTTAAATTAACTGTCTTGTATTTTGTTTCTTCTATTCCTCTAAATCATCATAACTAGAACTAATAGGTTATCCTGTAAAACAAAGTACAAAAAATTAGAATAAAATAATGACAGTAGATTTTCTATAATCATAGTAAACGAAAGTAAATTTGTATCTTTACTTACTTTTATATTATTTCAAATAAGAAAACTATAATAGCAACATAATTAAATCATGTTATTCTTTTGAAATATTTCTATCAGAATCCGCTCGACTTCAGCTGCCATCATATGTCAGCGACGTAACAGCACGCGCTTCTTATTGGCTAGTATTCGGCCTATGAGAAGGTTTGATCACAACGCGCGCGTCTCCTATTAGTTAATCGTCTGCTAATGAGAAGACTTAATAACAGCGCGCTTTACCGATAAGGAAGCTTAATGTTATACCTTTATCTGTAAAATTTAAAAACAGCAGTAAATATTATTTTTTGCTTTTGATATATATTTTTATTAATTAATCCGATATAAAATATTCACCATATTTCAACTTCTTGTATAATGTAATATATCTAACAGCTTCATAAAGTTTAGGTAATATGAGCTCCCTACACATATCCTCAGCATTTTTAAATTGTAGATTAGTATAATTTAATTTATATAAAAATTCTCTAACAAAATCAAAACAATTCATGGTATCTTCATTATAATTAATAGACTTCCATTTAATATCCTGCCTCATAATATTTAATATTTCATCCCAGTAATAATCCCAAGAAGCCGGTACTACTTGCATTGCTATGCAACTTGTCCATTGTGCAAAATTATTAATAATTAAACCATATCTATCAAATTCAAAAAGATTTCCATTAGAGTTAACTACTCCAATATGTAAAAGATCATTAATTTCATAATTATCTAAAAATGTACCATGAGAAGGTTTAATTACAATCGAAGTTGATTGACTTGTTGCATTTGTAAATGGATATGGAATTCTAAATGGTTCTATACGAAAACTTACAATAAATTCTTTGCACAATGGACATTCTTCTGGAATAGTTTTACAAAAGACAGACTTAATATTACAATGACGAAAACATATTATTCCTGGATCCATAATTATAGTATAATGAATCAAATACTTAATTACTGATATAACAAATGTATCACAGCTTGTTAAGATCGAATTAATTGTCTTGTATCTCGTTTCTTCTATTTCTTAGACTAACCTAAAATAGGTTATGCTGTAAAACAAAATACGAGAAGTTAGAATAAAATAGAAGCAATAGATTTTTTTTAAATAATAGTAAACAAAAATATTTTACCTATACTTTTATTTAACTGCAAATTAAAAAACTATAATATGCTCTACCTGTTGATTTACTTCTATCAAAACTCGTTCGACTTTTACCGCAATCACATTCTAGCGATGTCATTGCCCGAATCTCCTATTGGCTGCTCATCGACCAATGAGAAAACTTGCTTACAACGTTCTTTATCGATAAAGAAGTTTAATATTCCCCTAAAAATATGCAATACGAAATACATACGTGAATAAAAATATATACAGCTTATACGCATTGTTCTAATTTTGTTATTTAATATTTGATACTAGAATAAAATATAAAAAATGACTGGTTTCATTATCTATTTCAAAAATTAAGAGAATTATTAAAAAGAGAATATCTTTCTAAATAAAAAATTATAAACGCAGTTAAAGAATATTAGAATATGTTTATATACAAAAAGATGACTGTAGAAATCTGTACTCCTGTATTTAGAAAATCAATTCTAATCTTTATCATTGCAGCATAGATTTGTTTAACTTATTTTTCGTATCTTAAAAGCGTAATGCGTATCGATACGATTGATCTAAAATTCAATGTGGGCGTCGTCTTTTTTGTTTATTATCCTAAGCATGCTTGTCTGGTTTATATTGTGGTGGTGTAAATGCGCGAGCCGGTTTACTCGTGAAAACGCCTTTTGCCTGCCCATTCTGCCCGTGATCACTTTGCTTTTGCGCCTGTTAAATAATCGAAGAAAAACTCTTGTTACGCGGAGTTTACGAATCGAAACGGATCGATCGATCATCTTCAACTCTCGTGGTGAATTTATAAAAAATGTTTTGTTCATTTTCACAAGACCCTCAACTTCTCAGTTTTATTTTACGATGAGATTTTCGATTCGCCAACAGTGATCGATGATAAAACGAAGATAAAAAAATATGTGAACTTCTCGAATATAAAAAATCAAACGAGTTTATTTTTCAATTTTCGTTGCTATTCTACCTTTTTCTACCTTCAACTTTTACGAAAGTCTCAGTTCTTTAGAAAAGAAGATAAGTGATCTAAAAACTTAAGAACTTGTCTTTAATTTAAATTACAGCATCTTCTTTTCATTAAAATTGGAAAAGGCTTTATGTATTCGGCAGGAATATGCCAATCACATCGGAAGTTTCTTCGAGGGATAATCTTGATTCTATCACTACCATGGTAAAATTATTACACATTTTCTATTTTGCACACATACCTGTTTAATATTTTTATCGATCTTTATTTTTTCTAATCATTAACTAAATTATAAAAAAAAATATATATATGCTATTGAAATAATACATTATAATTAATTAGGAAGATCAAAGTCGTACGGGAAGATACGTAGCAGGTGGAGCAGCATTGGCAGGGACATTACTTGCATTATACCATGTACTTTTACGAGGTACATCCTCCATAGCAGGAATATGTATACCTGTGATTATAATGGCATCTTATATTATCTGGGTACTTTATTCCGCTCGCAGGGATAGGCGCAAGGTGACTAAATTCAAATCATTTGATCAAATATTTTTCTTTTCGTGATTTATGACTGGCTACTTTTAACAGAAATTTGCAGTCTTTTGTAATCGATCTCGTTTAAGGCATTAAGAATTGCGACTGCTATGCAACTGACGGAAGTAATAAATGAACCTGCCAGATCCACCGAAGCCGTTTGCAAAAACGTTAAGATCAACGTTGCTGAATCTGATGGCAATTCTATGGAAAAAATCAGTCACGAAAATCCTTCCTTTTTAAAAGAGGATTGTACTCCATAAATCTAAAATTTCCTATAAATTTTCATTGTTTTTCACGATTCTAAGACCTCCGCAGCTAAATGAAGCTAATGTTCCGTTTTTCTCTCGTATTGAAAAACTTTTACGTATGATAATAACTATTATTTGTATATATGATTAATATATAAAGAAAAAAAATCTAATTGGCTAAATATTAATCACATAAATACATTTATGTGGTATTTATTTATCCATCCTTTTGGATTTTACGTGAAAATCTAAAAATGTATAAAAGAAATATCTTTCTTTATTAAAATTTTTGTTACCGACGGATCATTGCGTAGCTCAAGTTTAATGTACCGCAGAAAAGTTGGCATAGAACCTAAACAGCAGAAACAAATGAATAAGTATTCCTTATTGCACATTAATTGCACATTTTGAATCTATGATTGTATACTTCATTAATTAATTATTTAATTAGTTATTAATAATGAAAAAAACAAAAATGTTTTTTCTCATTTCTAAGCAAAGCAATGAAGTTTTCTATTGTTTTTTGTTTTCAATTAATTGCTAACTTTTTGTTTGTCCGGTTCCCTYATCTTTTATTAATAATTTATTTTTTATTTATTTCGTTAATTAGTTGAAAATAATTATTACAATTTGAATAATTACGAAATGGCGACGACATGARTGGGRGATATGTTATAYGTATGCGCAACCACAAATTCAAGGCGCAAGCGCATTTTGAAAAAAATGAAAATAAAGTTGGTTTACCTGCAGGGGATATATTTAAAAGAAAAATTATAATTTACAAAATATTTACCTATTGTTTATACATTATGAACGATTAACCTATTTCTTTTCACTATTCTATAGGTTGTTACTTTGGAAATCAACTTTAAAAATATCCCCTGTGGGTATACTAATTTTACTTTCATTTTTTTCAAAGTACGCTTGCGCCTTGAATTTGTGGTTGCGCATACRTATAACATATCYCCCAYTCATGTCGTCGCCATTTCGTAATTATTCAAATTGTAATAATTATTTTCAACTAATTAACGAAATAAATAAAAAATAAATTATTAATAAAAGATRAGGGAACCGGACAAACAAAAAGTTAGCAATTAATTGAAAACAAAAAACAATAGAAAACTTCATTGCTTTGCTTAGAAATGAGAAAAAACATTTTTGTTTTTTTCATTATTAATAACTAATTAAATAATTAATTAATGAAGTATACAATTATAGATTCTAAATGTTCAATTAATGTGCAATAAGGAGTAATTATTCATTTGTTTCTGCTGTTTAGGTTCTATGCCAACTTTTCTGTGGTGTTTAATCTTACCTACCTGATCGATAACTAACTAGGTTGATAAACTAGGTAGTCGGTGACTAGTTTGATCGGTAACTAAGTAGGTCGATAACTTGCTAGGTCAATAATTTGCTAGATCGGTAAATGATCGACTTTATTTTTAGTATATTATTTAAACCATAAATTAGTCATTATGGAAGTAAGGAAAGAAACAAAAAGCTAATACTCCACCTATTTTATATATATATACACACACGAATATATTATATATATATCATTTCTATAATGAGAAAATGTTCAAAATAGATTTCTAGGTAGCGCTTCAATCAACCCCACAGATTTTGAGATTGTGGTGCTATTTCCCCTTAATATTGTTGTATACTCGAAGAAATGATTTAAAGCAAAATGGCATTTACGGTTTCTTATGTAGCCTCAGTCGTTACTCCAGTGTTAAATATGTATTCGAAAGGTCTTTGGTATTAATTTATATAATAACGGTTTAAATTGACCTAACAGTGTTCAATTAGTCAAAGGATACTAATTCCTATAACGAATAAAATTTAAGTTATAATGATTCATCCGAATTATTCATAGCGCGTTTAAAAACGAGTTAATGCATCGACTATATATAATATTGTTCATTGTTTAATGGAAAAATTGACTGCTGTCATTGTGCAACTTATGGCAATACAAAAAAATTTAGGTTATACGTTTTCCAGAAGGAAATAAATGAGAAGCATTAAAACTAGAAAGAGAAGACTATTTTCAAGTAATATATGATAGTAATAAAATCATATGATACTCAGACGCGTTATTTGATGTCAACAACCTTTCGAAAATTCGTGTAAAATGTTAACCGTTTCTACAATAGAACGTGGAATGTGAGAAGGTGTTTTGAATTCCTGCTTTCTCAGGTGAACCGATTTGTTATTTCACTTATAGTTATTTTTAGTCGACAGATACATTGTTATGAGTATATCTAGAATAATATTCATGTATTCATTTTTATTTTGTAATAATGTTTACTTTTAACTAATAGAGTAGTTTAATTAAAACTTTATGTATTGTTGTTTATTTACATTAAGAACTATAGATACAAATACATATCTCTATATTCTTAGAATTGTAATATTAGATTTATAAATGCTTACAAAGCTTTTTAAATCATCGATGCATTTATTAACATTGATAGGAAATATTTTAATAGCTTTTCATTTCTAATTTTATTACTTTTATATAGAAAACCTTGTTCTTGTACTGCAATATCAATATAGAACAATAAATTAAATAGAAATTGTGAACACTAATCGTAATTCTTATAGAAGAGTATTTAAATACTATTGTTTTTTAATTAATGTTCTTTCAAAACACGCATGAAGATATTTATTTGTACCTGCATAAATAGCAAAAGTAATAATCAATAGTATAATAATTTGAAAAATAGTGGAAATTAATCCACAGAGGCATTAGAAGAATTTCTGAAGTACTATGGCTATTTGCTTAGGTTTAGCAATGTAACTAGAGTATATATTTGCTTATTAGGTGTACTGGAACGTAGATAGTCCTGCTGTTCACCGCTTCAAGTACAAGTATCCTATGATGTTTTCATCAGGTCTTGGCTGTAATCTTTCCTTCCCCAGTTGTCTGGGCTATCCACGAGATAGCGAAGAACTGATACCAAAAATGGCGCGTGAACCAATTATTCTCAATGTTTATGATATGGTAATAGAAATACAAGAAATTCTCATACATACAATGCTTATTTTTCATTCATATAATATTTTCAGTATTGGATAAACGAATATACAACTCCAATTGGACTTGGAGTTTTTCATTCGGGTGTTGAAATATATGGGACAGGTATATCATTTTTATCAATGATTATTATTATATTTTTTCAATTTAATTTACTTTAATGATATAATTTTGTATAGAATATGCCTATGGTGGTCATCCAAAACCTAAATCCGGCATTTTTGAAATAACTCCTAGAGTTGCGGAAGAACTTGGTGAACAATTTAGATACAGGCATGTATATTTTTTATTTTATCACAACAATCGTGCTACCTGTTGAATTACAATGACTAAGTATTTATTTATTTGGATATATCTTATAGACAGTCAGTACACATTGGGTATACAGATTTTACAGAGGAAGATGTTACCAGGATTGTAAATGAATTAGGAAAGGATTTTAGGGGAGATCGTTATCACTTGATGAATAAAAATTGTAATCATTTTAGTAGTCAGCTTACATTGGTATGCCTTATTTAATTATTGTAGCAGTACTGCAATGTATGGCAAATAGTTTGTTTATTAAATTATATTCGATTATATTTTAATTGATATTTTATTCTTTAGATTCTATGTGGCCAAGAAATCCCAGGATGGGTTAATCGTTTGGCATACTTCAGTTCGTGCGTACCATTTTTGCAGCGTTGTCTCCCAAAAGAATGGTTAACTCCCGATGCCCTTCAGCATTCTTTAAATCAAGTCAGCCATCACGAAGGTACACCACCTTCCGATACTTCCTTGTAACATTTGGCTAACACTACAGACGAGAAAAGTTTAGAATATCCTAGGAGGTATACTTTATAGAGACTATTTACGCATCGTGACGAAGACAAATTTTATTACAACAGGCTCGTATATCGCCAGGAAGAAATTGATATCCAGGCAATTCGAATGTCACTCGAGGGTACAAACTTGACATTGTACTTCTCAATGCCGCTGATAAATTTATTAGTACTCAGAGAATTGCCTTCCCTGCAACGTGTCGTCTAACAAATTTTCGACGACAGGATACAGGTCGCGTGTGTTCTTTGGTTAATAGTTATATAATAAATAGATAATTACCTACAAATCAAAGCCATACCTGAGACTGACGAGTTTATTGGTCAGAAGAGTTCAGATTTCATTTATGTTTCATTAGATTTTTGTAGCCATTGAAAACACACATTTTTCATTTAAATGCTATTTCAAACTATACATTTTTTGACGAGCACTTTTCAATTTATCGCAGAAATTTTTATGGGATTAATATGATTAACATATCTTTTATAATCAAAACTCATATTTCATTTTTTTGACACTTAATGATTTCATATTTTTCATTATTATTATTATAATACTATATATATATATTTATTCTTTTTTTTAATCTTTGTATATTTAATATCTCTTTATATAATTACAAATAATAGCCATTGAAACATTCAATCATGTCGAATGGATTTACAAAAATGATTAGTGCATTTACTAATGATAATTTTTCTATCATTTTCTTAAAAGACATTTATCATTTTATTTTTAATGTACATGTGATTAGTAATTCGATATTTCATTATTCCAAATTTTCATCAACAAAAAAAAACGCTAAATTTCTTTTGTAAAAAAAGATAACAGTATTTTGCACGATTCGATGTAAGATTTAAAAATGTAAACACAAAAGAAAAAAGAAAAGGTGTTGTTTCAGAGGCTTTTGCCAGATTTGTAGCTGGATGAATTTAATAAAATACTGTCAAAAGGATTACTAATGTTACTAAAACTGTTGTTGACATCAAATTTATAATGTTACACGTTAAGAAAGAGAAAATTAATTTGTAGTAAAGTAACGAACAAACAAACAAACAAATAAAAAAAAAGAGAAAGAGATAGATAAAAAATGCATTTTGTTTCCATTTGGTGCATTTTGCATTAAAAGTTAGGCATGTAAAAATGCGTAATATACTAGCATTATGTTTCTTACTTACCGCCTAATATTTCTACTAACAATATTAAATGTCCAAGAATGTATTGACCATGTATTATATATGTTTTGAAATTATGTAATAATTATATTATCTTTCAGAAAAAAATTCTGTCTAAAGCGTACGTCATAGTCAGAGATATAAGAATGAATTGTAATTTAAAAATTTTCTTCTAAAGTATTATATATCTCGGTAGTTTTAAACGAATCTACGAAAGTTTGATAAATTTACTTTAGTTTCTCGAGGACATATTTATATTAATTGCGTGTTTTATAGATAAATTCTTCGTTAAAATTATTTCCTTTGAATAGAATAATAGAATTTATAAATAGTACATAAAATACGTTCATACTATACATATATGCATACGTAAATGCGTGCAAAAGTGCGTGCACGTGATATTTTTATCTTGTGCATACAGTAAATTTAATTAATTAATAATAATTATTATTATTTATATTTAATTAATAATAATTATTATATAATTAATAGTTTACTGAATCATACGAAACATGCCAATATGAAAATTCATTTCGTACGAATATATGTATATGTATTTACAAAAAAATATTGTATTAATTAAAAATGAATTTTGTTAGTTTCAAATGTTTCCTACGCTCATATATTTTTATGAGTATATATATGTGAAAAGTATTTATTATTATTATTATTATTAATCATCTGTATACTCTAACGAAACTGTAAGAGAGATTTCATAATACAAACATTAACATGGCAAAAAAAAGTATATAAAAAAGTATAAGCAAAATAGTAGACATGCCTAAATCTTTATATAAAATAGTGGAAAGAGTTGTGATTAAATATTTCATTGAAAAGTTTTCTTTTTATATTTATTCTGCATTTTGTATATTTGTTACTCATTCTTGTCAGCATTTTTCGCAGTAATAAATAGTACGGTTTTTTGTAACATTACGTTCTGTATACAAAATTATCTAATAGAAATGTCAATTATATTAAAAGCGTATAACGTCCACTTTGCCTGTAAACGCAAAACATAATGTATATGTCAAATGAACAAAAATTCTTCGGTTGTGCTACCTTATTTAATTAATAATAATAATAATAATAATATAAAAAGTAATGTTACAAGAACCTACACATAATAAAAAAGACTTGGTTCTATACTTTTACACATTTTTTAAAGCAGTTAGAAAATATACGGTGTAGTCTGTGATAGATATATTAAAAAAATTATAATAATATACATATAAAAAGAACACCACATAAATTTACGTAAGCTTATATACCATGAAAAATTAAAAAAAAAATAAAACGAATGCAATTGATACAAGCTTTAAAATTTATTAATACAGTTGTACACGATAAAATCATATTATTACTTTTTTCAGTTAGACGTAATGAAAAAACATTAGCAGATTTTTTTCCTCTTAATACAGACACAAATTTATGAATCGAGACAAAAAGGTAAGATGTTTGTGTGTGTGTGTGTGTAAATAATATAAATACTACAAAAAATCTACAAACTGACCTTCATTAATTAATGACGAAATCTTAATGTATAAAGTTTGGTCTCTTCTTTTAGCATAATAGCTTATTCCTCATAATTTACAACAAAATACACATTCTCAGTTATAATAAGACGTAAATAATTATTAATTGTAATATTTTTTAATAAATATTTTAAACAATGCACAAAAAAAAAAAAAAAAAAAAAAAAAAAAAAAAAAAAAAGCGTTATATAAATAAGTTTATAATATATAATATATATTTATATATGTATAATAAAAAGACGCGCTAAACTAGGATGCACAAAAAAGTGTTGCATAATAAATTCAGGTCATTTGCAGTACACTGGGCAAAATATTAACAGAATAATAATTGTTTGTCTCTAAAATTTCGGATTAATATTTAGGCTTATTTGTTTTCTAGAATCGAAGAAAAATCATTGACTAATTGAATGAACAACTGCATAATTAATTATCTTATTTTCACGTGAAAAATAAATTTGCGTCGCGACTTAGTTTTTCATTGAAAAATATTAATTTTACCTAACACTTTATAATATATTAAATAATTTTATGGATGATAAATTATATCACCACATTAAACGCTATCTTAGTAATTTTTGTTAGATAAAATTTAGATAAATAATAAGATGATTTTGAAATTAAATATTGTTCGTACATAAATATGCAGTAAGAAGAGACAAAGTTTTCCAATATTTACAAACGTATAAAATTAATGCTATACACAGAATTAATTATCTGATGCACGTGTTTCTATGATATGAAATTAATATAAAAACTTAAGTATAAAAAAGAAATAATGTTTAGCCACCTTATAAGTTTTTATGAAACCATATATGCAACGTTGATAATAAAAGATTAAAATAAATCATGAAATTTCACCGGTAAGTACATTAATACACACATGATTTTTTTCATTTGTTAATAATTATGCTTTGATCATACTTCGGAAATATTTCTAGAATATGTTCTTATTTTCAATTCATGTTATTATGGACAGTGTTTGCACTATTATATTTCTCATGACAAAAACCGTATGTCGCTACTTCCTACCATTCCTTTCATTTTCCTCTATCTTTTTAATATTATCATGTTTTAATATTATCATAATTGATATATATATATATATATATTTATATATATATATTTATATATTTTTTTATTCGTATATAATATATTTTCTTTTTCTACAATTATAACTTGTTGAGAACGTTTACATATAATTAAAAAAATATTATTAATAAAATTGTAAATTGACAAATAATATTAAAGATCAAACGGTGATGTATGACCAAGATGTTGTTTTATCGATATTTTATGAAATCAAAAAAACAAATGATAGAACAATAATGATAGCATTTAAAATTAAATTTCAAAGTTATGATTGAACATGAGTGTATGATTATCACTCTAAAAATACAAATATTAAAAACTTGTGAAACTATATGCGATACTACTAAACTGGCACTGTTGGTTCTTGATCTTTGGTCATGTCACAAGTACCATATTTTTCAACTTCAATATAGCATTCACAAATAAATTTATAGTTTTCTTTCTTTTTTTGTTAATTATCAATTTCAGTCGAATTTCTTAATAACTGGAAGATATTGTTTCATGCTTCTGATCTCGGTTGGCAAAAATTCTAAGACATACATTTTTGTCACTATGCTCTTGCATTTTTAGTCGATTAGAAATGTAAATGTAATGAATGTATATACATCGAAAAATGTATCTTCTGTGCTATGAAACACGTAAAAAGTACATCTGTGTCTTCATCTACCTTTCAATTTCATTATGTTTCGTTTGATCTTACAACAGTATAAATTGATATTTATGAAAATTAATAATATTGCAAAATTAATATATAAATATATAAGGCATTATAGTTTTCGAAGAACACTTTTTCTAATAAGACAATAACAAATTATCTGTTAAATGAACGAACTACAGCGGTATTGCAATCAATTTGTGTTCAGATCTTAATCATCGATCAAATGATAAATGATATTATGCATTACACAAAAATATGTGTAGTGTTTTATTATGTAACTCGAGTTACACAGCATTATATATATATATATATTTTATATATTCTGCAATTACTTTTCTTCTTCTTACATAATAATTCTTGGCTTCGAAAATTTGTAATAGTATATATATATATATATAATCGCAACGTTTACAAAATAAAATAAAAGCATCGATTAATTTAAAAAAGAACGATTGTAAGTAATAATTTCTATTCTATTCGTGGCTCAAACGAAACATATGTCTCTTTCTAAAATAATTATCATTACCATTATTAGTTCCTTCCAATTAATTGCACGATTATATTCTACTATTCACATACTTGAATAATACGACGCACCTTACTGCATTATGACAAGATAGAAATTATTCAGTCATAAGGCATCAGAATGGATTCATACCCGTCAAATTTCTTTGTTACTAATAGTGATTAAGTATACAATTTACTTCAAACTATACTTGTATACCTAGGCTCTGAATTAGGTATGATAGATTAAGTAGATTATTTAGTTTTTTTTTATTGCTACATAATTTGACTGAGATTTCCAATTTTATTTAATGTAAAAAAGTCACTCTCGCTTAGCGGTTGTGAGTAGAAAAAAAAGAAAAAAAAATTGAATTAATATATATATATATTTGTATATATATACTAAATATTGAAACTAAGATTAAACGAAGAATTCGCATATCGGATTATATATTACGATACCCTACTAACTCCAATAATATTATGGCATCGTAACGTCGACTTGGCGATCTTCTCAAATGCATACATAAATTATGTACAATAATTTACTGGTGTATAATAATAAAATTTTTGTTTTTGTT